TGCCCAGGGAAAATGGAATGAGTCCCCCACAGCAAATTACATGAGCAGCGTTTGTGAGGGTAGACACTAGATCTGCTTGAGGGTGTACCCAGAGCTAGTCTTGTCACTGGTATCTTTTAACCATACCAGACTGCTTTTTGTATACTTATATTGACACAAGCTCACTTCATCTTTCAATGAAACTGCAGTTAAACTGATGTTTACAGAATCAGCAAAGTTAATTATTTGAAAGAAACTTAACTGCTGGACAGATGCAGGTAGTGTGATAGCTCTCTCTTTTATACAGCAGCTTATTTTGATTGAACAAAAGAAAATGTAGTTTATAATTCAGAGATAAATTGTACTTCCAACAGAGTGTATTTTAAATGGTCTAGAAATATGGACATCCTGATTATTTAATTTTAAATATATGACTTCAGTGCCTGGAGGGAATAGTCTAAAATGAATCTGATTGGATTTAGCAGGAGCAGTTACCTGCCTTGTATGCTTAGCTGTACACACTTTTTCTCTTTTAAGTGTCTTTTTTTTTTTTTTTTTTTTTGGCTCAGCTAAAATACAAAACCTTGAATTGCAGGATTTTTCCTCATCAAATACTGTTGATGGAGAAAGCAAATGTTACCTTTGTAAAATATCATACCTTTGCCTAAGGGGTCTCATTCATCTTTATACTTCTTCTAGGCAAGCTGGACCAAAACAAAGGGAATGAGGGAGAGAATAAGTGTGTAAGACCCTTTACATACAGGACTAAAATAATATATTGAAATAAATTGCATCTTATAATGCTACTTATTCTGCTTTCCTTTTGCACCCTCAGATTATTTTACAGACTTGTAAAATGCAATTTGTCAGAAGTTTGATTAAGGTCTCTGCTAGAAAAACTATGCAAATAACAGGTCAATGTGCTGTTTCCCAAATGTTTAGAGATAGTTAAAAACTTGGTCAGTGTTACTATTTGGATATGTCTTGAAGAGTTTTGGCCTGACCATTATGTTTCATAGTTGATAGACATTTACAAATGGAAATTATACAGAAATCAAGGAAACCAGCCTAAACTTTTCATGTTTAGGATTCTCTTGGCTTTGTCTCATCATGTCTTATGCTCCAGGCTAACTATACTTCTTGGCACAGTAGCTGCACTTTCAATAAGGAGAAGGGCTGATTTTAGGAAAGATTGCTTTGCCTGCCTCAGGACTTATGACTTGTTGCAGTGTTTCAGCTCTGTTTAGGTACGAAGTTCAGGTGCAACTTCCTCAGGCTCACTCTTACAGCTGTTATCATGGGCAGAGATGGAACTCGTGTAGCAGTTCTTATTCGAGCATGTGCAGAAGGCAGAAATCTAAACCTTGTGGAAAAAGATTTGGTTTTGAAGTCTCTTCTAAGGTGTCTGTTCATCTGTTGATGCTGTGGGTATATGTTGAAGGTGTGTGTTTTGTTTGTGGGGTTTTTTTGTATTTTTGGGGGGCGGTTGGGGATGTGTGGTTCTTGGGAGGTGTTTGGTTTTGCTTGTTTGGTTTTGCTTGTTTTGTTTTGGGATTTTTTTAAAAGTTACTTTTTATTTTTCACTCTAACATTATAATATGTGCAGTCTCCAGAATCCTTTCTCCTTCCATGCATACAGTAGTGTAGAGAAGGGGATAGTGACTTAACATGTGATGAGGTTTCTACCTTCGACTTTGATTTACTGTTCTCTTGTCTATTAGGGTCTCTGAAAACCCTCCTCTGAGTAGTTGCAAGTAAGCTTCTGCTTGCAGTTTCCCACAATGTGCTTAATATATTTAAATTAATACATCTAAAATAATTAATAGACTTAAATTAATAAAATAGTGGAAAACATTTAAACATCCAGAGGTTGAGGTAGAGAGGAACTGTTACTGTTATTCTCTGAGATATATTATCAGAAATGCATTTACATCCTTCTTTGTCTCTCCTTCAGAGACTAACCTTGTCTTTGGATATACTGGTTGAAAGAAAGGAGTGTATCCTGCCTCCATTTTTGTCATGTGAGATGCATGCACTGAGAGGAGGAGTTCAGCTAGGAAATTAAAAAACCTCTTTGGCCTCTCTTTGGATTTAGAGGCTGAGGAAAGGTATTGATGTGAAGGAATCTTTGTTTCTGCTACTGAGTTCTATTCACAGTGGGCAGGTGGGGAGAAGTTCTCTGGATATGTAAGGGATACAAGGCATCAGACATGTCAACATTTTTATCTTAGTCCCATGAAAATCAGTATCCTTTTTGTAATGGAAACCAAGGCATCCATAAATACATAGATATTTAATATTTCAATTAAGGGTCTTTTTATTTCTTTCTGCAGAAACAGGATTATCTTCTTTTAGTAGTAGATACAAAAGTACTATAGTAGAGCTGGTTTTTTGAAACTTGGCTGGGATGTGACAGCCTAGTAACATAAAGACCATGGGGCTTCTTTTGCAGCCAGGGAGATAGAGAAAGCTGAGCTTCCAGTATAAATGTTTCATTTTATTCTTGTTTAATTTTTGTCCACTATATTCACACATTTATGGGTATTTCTGAGACTAAAAATTAAAAGAAATAAAGTTTTTAGCTCTTTTTCATCATGAAAGTACCATATTCCTTGGTGTTGGAATACTTGCTGCTGTACTGTGTACAAGAAAAACAGCTTTTGACAGTCTGTGATGTGGTATCAGACCTTCGTTTTGCTTCCTACATACACATATGTACTCTTACAGAA